TAGATAATAATAATGTTTTGACGCGTACACTTATGCTAAATGTTAGACCGATGTCGTTAGACAAATAGAGGNCCTAGACGAGCGGCTGCTGATCTTTTTTTATTAGATAATAATAATGTTTTGGCGCGTACACTTATGCTAAATGTTAGACCGATGTCGTTAGACAAATAGAGGGGCCTACGATTTTACTATTTTAAGAATAAGACCCAGTAAACATGTGTGGATTAAATACCAAAATCGAGCAATAAAGAAGTAATCACTGGTTCATCAAAAACGCTGTACCTCAATTCAAAATATTTGGGAAATATGTTGAGATAGAGCGAATCGAATTCTGAAAAAGGAAGGGTTCTTCTACCAAATTCTGATGTAGGGCGTTCTTGAAAAGTTTTCTGTGTTAGGGTGTTTTTGATCCGGCTGCCGAGATAGGTCGATCTTCCACTCAGCATTCGAGTAATATCTAAGNTACCAAAATCGAGCAATAAAGAAGTAATCACTGGTTCATCAAAAACGCTGTACCTCAATTCAAAATATTTGGGAAATATCTTGAGATAGAGCGAATCGAATTCTGAAAAAGGAAGGGTTCTTCTACCAAATTCTGATGTAGGGCGTTCTTGAAAAGTTTTCTGCGTTAGGGTGTTTTTGATCGGGCTGCCGAGATAGGTCGATCTTCCACTCAGCATTCGAGTAATATCTAAGGGTGCGTTCGCACAGAAAGCCGAGCGGTGCTGAGCGAAGAAAGGAGGAGCGAAACGAACCTCCAGGTGTTCACGCTGAACGAAGCGGAGCGGAGCAAAGATACAACAAAACTTATCGTCAATGCAAAGTGGCAAAAATATTTGCTCAATTTTGTTCAAAAGATTAGTTGGAAAATTCGTTCTTATACGAATATTTCGATATCAAAAACAGGTTTGCTTTCAGCTCCAAAACGCTTCTGAAAAAGCTTGCTGTATGAACATTTTCATGTACGTAAATAGAACAGTAATTTGAAAGCTTGACTCCGTTCGGAACGGCTTCACTCGGCTCGGNTGGTTTGCTTTCAGCTCCAAAACGCTTCTGAAAAAGCTTGCTGTATGAACATTTTCATGTACATAGTACAGTAATTTGAAAGCTTGACTCCGTTCGGAACGGCTTCACTCGGCTCGGATCCGCTATCTGTGTAAACGTAGCCTTAGATAGCTAACTTCAAATAGGCGACACAAAATGTTAACAAACTTTTTCAAATCCTTTTTATCTTCGTTTAACCAGCTAAATCGAATGTAGTTGGTCCGATTTCCATCACCTTCAACTTTTTGAAATTCATTGCACTGTGTTACTTATGTACATATGTAAACGGTTATATGTATGTACATATGCGCTAGAACTTACAGATATTGTATTAAAAAAAAATGGTTTCATTTTAAGCCGATATTAGATTAGTTTAGATTAGATTAGATTTAGAGGAGGGAGCTGGTCACCTAGTTACCGCGACCGAAACGATCTATTGTAACAAACCTCTATTCAACTACAGGTCATCTTTGATTTGGCTGAATACCATTTAGGTCGTGTGCTTCCAGGTACGGTGATCCTAGGAAGCGAAGTCTGGTCCTGGTAAGGGCACATAATGTGTTCTGCTATTTCCTGTTCTTCGTTACACAACCTGCACTGGTCAGAGTTGATAACTCCTCTATTTGACAAGTGTTTCATTACCCTACAGTGGCCAGTAAGAAAGCCTGTAACAATTCTTACTTCATGCCTACTGAGGTGAAGGAGTTCTTCGATTCTCCTTGTTGATATAACCGAAATGAAGAACTTGGCCTGTCTGTTACTCTGTTACCTTCCGTATTTGTCCAGTACAGTTGTACTGCGTTCTTCATCCAGATATAGTAGTTCCGCCTAACAGAGCTCCATGGCAGACCGGTAAAGGGTCCTGGGCTTATGAATCCGTGTGCTGCCCCTTTTCTGGCGAGAATATCTGCCACTTCATTGCCCATGACTCAACTGTGTCTCGATACCAATATGAGGTATACCCGGTTCCTTGAGGCGATCAGTATTAAAAGTAGAAGACAATCCCACACCAGCTTTGAGGTGACCTCGTGCGCTTTAAGAGCGAGGAGCGCCGCTCTGCTGTCCGAGTGTATATAAATGTGTTTTTTAGTAGCCCCACTTTCTACACACTGCCTCAGACAAAGTTCATTGGCGTGAACCTCGGCCTGAAAGACAGAGTTATCCTGCCCCTGGTGGAAAGGAGCAGTCTGGGTTATATGTTCAATGTTTCTAAAAATTTTGGAAGCTACTTACCGTTGAACAGTAAATATGTATGTACATATCGTCACTACACACGAATAAAGGCGCGCTAGTGTTTTGACGGCGAAAAAAGGCTTTTAAAAAATTTTTTGCGAAAAAAGATGCTTATAAAAAACTTTGGCGAAGTATTTTAAGGGTCTTTGACGCTGAAGTTTTTTATGCGTCTTTTTTTTCGTCAACTTTTGAGCTCGCGCTTTTATTCGTGTCTAGTGACAATTAGTATGTATGTGTTAATCAGGGTAGCCAACTCATTTATGAGAATTCCCCGATTTCGACAATGAAGTTCCCCGATTTTGCCCGAAATTTCGTAAAACTCCCCACCCAAAGATATCTCCTTATTAAAAAAAAAACAATTGTATGTATTTTGATATATTAAGTATGTCAACAAAGAGTAAACAATATATGTACATATAATATTTACATACATACAGCAGTTAAAAACAATTTAGTCCCACCATATTAAAACAAGTTTTCACATTTTTTTTTATTTAATTTGAGTTATTTTTATAAAAATATAGTTCATTCTTTAACAATAACCGTTTGAATCCAAGTTTTAAACTTTGTGCAATATGTAAAAAAAAAATCAACAAACTTTCGTAAAAATGTCGAGCTTTTTAATTCGATTTTCTAGGAAAGTTTTGAGTATACAGTTTTGTAGCACACTCCATTCTACTGTAAAAAAGTGCAAGTTTCAAGTACCTACCTAATTTTTTTGCCGAAGGTGTTGCGGTTTTGCTCCATAAAATAAAATAACTAGCAAATGCTACAAAGAAAATTCTAAAAAAAAATCAACGGTAATTTTTAGCTATTTGAAACTTTATTATACTAGGATTGAACGAGCTACAGAACTGCATACGGCTCATTCCACGGTAACAGCGAGACATTTCAACTTACATTTTTTTTTAATCATTGTGAAACTAGTGAAGCAAAAAAGAAAAATTTGTTTACACCTAATTCCTCACAAAAAAACAGTTCATCCCCCGCTTCCCAATGTTAACTGAAATGCTCCACAAAAAACGCTCCATTCCGCGATGCCCCACGCAAACTGAAATTCTCCGCAAATCGAGGAATTCCCCACGAGTTGACTTCCCTGGTGCTAATGCACACAGTGTAGATGAATTCTCGATTGCGATGTGAAAAAATCAAAGGGAGCATTCAATTGGGGAGAAAACGAATGGGAAAAGAAAAAAATGAGCAAAACCAAATTACCAAACGATTCAACACTCACACAGCATATACACTCATTATCCAATAAACACACAGCGCCAACACACTCTCACTCAGCGCCATTTCCACTCAAATGCTCAGAGTCGGCTATGAGAATTCCTCTACTCTGCCATTGAGTGAATATTCATTTTCAAGTGCATTCGTACATATCATACAATTATGTACCAATAAACAGGCAGTTGGAGCAAAAGAAAACCGCCACCACCAGCACCAAAATTATATAGCACACTTTGGTGGAGGATGCACACACATACATACATAAGGAATGAACTAAGAAGAGTAGAGTGGTGGCTACCACCAATTGAGCATTAGGGCAATGAATACGGCTTACAGAGCGCATAACCAACAGATACAACAGTAGCATTAACCAACAACACCACTAGTACTGCTGCTAGTGGTAGAGCAATAACAACAAATACAGCTATTATAAATATGCGAATAGCGGCGGCGCATACACCAGCGCAAACAACTTCTACACCCAAAGGCACCAACTTCAGTTGTAAAACGGATGTCGAATGTTGTAGAGGTTCGACACGGATATCTATTCGTAAACCATAACGGGCACAAACGGAAAACGTAATAAAAGTACATACATATGTATGTACTCAAATTCTCATACACCAAAAGTGCGATCGTTTTTGAAAGTTGGACAAAGGAAAATTTGAGAAAAAAAAAGAACTGTCGGTAAACGATTTTAGATATTAGTGATGATTAATATGAACGTGAAACAAAAGTTTATTAATTGACGCGAATAAGAATTTTTAAAGCGCGCTGACAAGTGATCGCGAAAGGAGATATCTTAGCTAATTGAAAATTAAAAATTTAAAACCAATGCAGTGCAAACAAATTTTTCACCAATTGGAGTTGATCAAAGAAAAATTAAGATCAATTTGAAAAATTATTGTGATCATTAAGAATTTGCCAGTGCAAAAGCTTTATGATAAATAAAAGCATATAAAACAGAGGAAGAGATGAAACTGCGATAAAAAGTACGAAATATGTACAATAAGGGTATTAAATTAAGTACAGAATCAGAGTGAATTTGCGCGTTGAATGACTGGAAATTTTTAAAGGCACTTTATTTTTTATTTATGCGATAAATTACGAGCGTATTGTGCTGCGCGCGATAGCATGTGGAATTGAATGGAAATCACTGCGCACAACAGCATTATATTTTTGATAAAAATGATTTAAATACACGCTGGACATGTTGATAAACAAAAATGTCGCCGTTGACTTTAAGAAAATAAAACCGTGTTGGAAATGATAAAATTGAGTGAGCAAGTGCTAGATCGCTACAAGTTTATGAGTGATCGTGCCGACGGGCAATTCAAAGTTGAGTGCTGCAATAAAAAGAAAATGTATGTAAGTTCAAATTAGGATCATACATATCAATGAAGAAACTGTCAGGCATATACCAAATTACAAAATTAATAAAAGCTTGTAAAAAATAATACAACATATTTGAAGGCAGCAAAAATTTAAAATTATGACATAGTAAAAAACTAAAAACATATACATACCTACAGTAGAAAAACAAAATATCGAAAAAATTAAAGGTGAATAGCTCAACTAATAAGCCACTAACACCTATTTTGTAGAAATACATATTCTTAATTTAAAACATGATGTCCAAAAAAAAAGAATGATTTATGGCTTGCTTCTTGAGATCAATTTAAATGTTTTAAACAACAACAAAATTTAAATATTTTACCAAAAGAAAAAAAATAGTTTTAAAAATTTATAATAAAAAAAATCAAGTGCAACAATAGGGAGCGTATGATCTTAAATGTTTTCTGTTAATTAAATACAAACCTACAAACTTAAATTGGATATATTTATAATTCTCACGCAACGAGATTTGCTTAAGTACATTTTATAAAAACTGATCGCAACCAGCAGTGCAAACTCTCGCACTAATTGAAGATCTCAAGCATCCCCTAAATTCAAACAACCACCGCTTCGATTAGCGCAGCAACTGGTACTACACAATTGCCCGATCCGCCAACTCAATCTTAATCAGTTGAATACAATGCAAGTGAAGTGATTCCAGTTCATTAAATTTATTAAATTCATTTATTGCAAAATCAAAAATCCAACTACTTCATTAAATCTACTCAATTGCAATAAAATAAAGTCCACAACGATTGCTGCTCAAAGTTTAAACGACGTCAATGACGAGCATTTTCCCAATCACCAGTTTGAAAATTTCTCATTGCCGTCGTTGCCCAGCCATAGACAAAAACGTGAAGACATGCCGCCCTCTGCGTTCTTAGTTGGTTCTACCATTTTGACTACAGCAAAAACAGCAGTGAGCAGCAGCAGCAGCAAAAACAACCTTAAAAGCGCCGCAACAAAATACCAAACAACAACATCACCAGCATCAACACCAAAGTTGCACTCGCCCACAAAAACCATTTCAACTTGCTCCTCGCCGTCGCTGTCGCCACAAGCAACGCAAACAAAGTACGTGGCCTGCAGTCCAACAAACGCACAAAAATACAATCAAAATAATAATTGTCAAACAGTACAAAATTACAACTACTTAAGTGCCACGGCGGAGGAACAACAACAGCAGCAGCAGCAGCAGCAGCAGCTACAACAGGCGCAGCTGGAACAGCAATACTTGCAACTGCAACAATATCAAGCACAGCATACGTCCAACAAGAAATCGCCCCAGAAAATGGTGCTACAAAGTTATGACAGTTATACCTCTTACCACTTGCCGGCGCACCATCAACATGCTGCGCATGCGTTGCCGCATCAACTGCCCTTATTGCAGCCGCCTCTTCATCAGCAACATCAACAGCAGCATCATAATCAGCACCACCAAGCTCAGCAGCAGCAGCAGCCGCAGCCGCAGCATCAGCAAACGCATCAATACCAGCAGCAATCACCGCCGCAGCACCAACAACAACACCAGCATCTACAGCAGCAGCAAAGTTTGCAATCGCTGACGCAACAAACGCAACATCACCGTTTGTCTGGTGGCAGCACTGGTAGTGCCTCCGTAAGTTCCTCCTCTTCGTCGGGAAACTCAACGGCCGCTACTGGCCTTAGCGGCAGCACGTCTGGAATGAGCGGCGGTACTTCATCGATCCTTGGTTCACCAAATCCTACCGCTTCTTCACTCGGCATTGGGTACTTCAACGATATGGCCACCAATTTTGGTGGTGACTATGCGCCGTCGCATCACCCGACCGCGAATTCATATTACACCGACATCGATGCGAATTTCTTTAGTCAAGGTACATAAATTTTAAGGCTTTTTCTCTCACCATAACTTAATTAAAGTTAGCCGGAATTTTTTTATGTAATTTTTCGGGAATGATTCTGGCAACTCTGTCAACTCATCACAGTTTTTCGAAATACAAGTCTTTCGTAAGACAATTGTCAACCCTGGCAACTATCATGAAAGCTCTTCTCTGTATTTCGAAAGACTTAATTGAAAGATCTGCTAAGGAGGAGCGTTATTCTTTATGTCTTTCAGCAAAAAGTTACATTTAAAAAAAGATTAAATGTAATTTAAAAAAATATATATTTTTCGTTTTAAAACAATAAAACAAAAAGTTAAAGAAAAAAATAATTAAAAACTGAAAATATTTAAATTAAAAACATATATAAAGATAACTAAAGTAAGTTTCTAAGCATTCAATTAAATTAAAAATATATATATTTTTATTTTTAAAGCAATAAAATCTAAAAATAAAAAAAATAGATCAAAAAAGAAGCAAAAAAAAATAAATATAAATATAAAAAATAATAATTGTAGGGTAATTGAACTGTATGTCTTTACACTTGTTTAAATTCTTGAAGTTAAATTTATTGTTCTATGAATTTGTTTGTTAATGGAAAAGAAAATTTTTGATTATTAATAAATTAGCTTTCAACAATAGCAAACTATAAAGAAATAACAATTTTAAATTAAATATATACATAACTAAAATAATACATTTTTTCTTTCTAAATAATAGAATCTAAAAATTAAAGGAAAATTTAATTAAAAACAGAAAAAGTTTAAATTAAAAAATATACAAAAATAACTAAAACTAAGTTTCTAAGCATTCAATTAAGTTTAAAAAAATATATATTTTTCATTTAAAAGCAAAAAAATCTAAAAACTGAAAATTAAATATTAAATATTAAATTAAAAGTAAATACATTAGGATCCTAAAATTGTACGAAATTAAAAAAATATTTTTTTCTTTGTAAAACAATGAAATCTAAAAATTCAAGAAAAGTTAAAATAAAAAATAAAAAAATTAAATAAGTTTCAAAAATTAAAACGAGAAAATCAAAAAATTAAATGAACTATAAGTTAAAAATGAAAAAATATTAAGTAAAAAAAGTTTCTAAAAATTAAGTTTAAAAAAAATATTTTTCTTTTTCAAACAATTAAATCTAAAAATTAAAAAATTTATTTTAATAAATTTTAATCAAAAACCAAATAAAATTTTATATAACAAATAACATAGTCCTTAAAATTATATGAAATTTAAAAAAATATATTTTTCTTTTTAAAACAATAAAATCTATTAAAAAATATAAAAAAAGAGAAAAAAAGCAGAAAAGTATGAAAGGAAACAACTAAATAACTTTCCAAAATTAAATGAAATTAAAAAATAATTTTCTATTTATAACAACAAAGTCTAAAAATTAAAAGGATATCAAATTAAAAAACAAAATATATTACACTAAAATGTAATTTTAGAGATCTGCATAAAATGATATTATTGATGCAATTTTCGGTAACTATCTTCTAGCCCAGTCATCTTTTAAACTTTGGGACGCTGAAAATGCCTATATTTTGCCTAAGTGCACTCAAAGGGTATTTTTAGCCCAAACACTTAATTTTTAAGCCAGTTTTTGTTTTCGTTTTCATACATTTTTTTTGGCGTATGGTAAAGAACTAATCTTTCTATTTGATCCACCATCGTTTGTTAGTTTGCGCCGATATAAAAAAAAAAACTTTGCAGATTGCCTCTCTGCTTTGCAAACTTGGTTCTACCTTTGGGTTAGCGGGCGCCATTGCCTTTATAGCCCTCATACGTGTGCGGAGCACATCATCCATGCGATTGGCATGTCCCAGTCATCGCTACAATTAAATATTAATACGTTTCACTTTGTCCATGCCATTGCATAGTTCGCATAGTTTCTCATTCCATCTCCTTCTGCCGAGAGTTATCTTAAAGCTTAAACAGCCGGCAGCGTTTATCCGGATTAACTCGGACTTAATCTGGATCAATTAATAATTTAAGTAATAGTAGTTTTTGATCATTACCNGCGAGAGTTATCTTAAAGCTTAAACAGCCGGCAGCGTTTATCCGGATTAACTCGGACATAATCTGGATCAATTAATAATTTAAGTAATAGTAGTTTTTGATCATTACCGTAACGCGCTCACTATCATAATATTTCCCTAGGGAGAAACTTTTCTAAAGCTTCCTATAGATTTCATAAGGGTGCGCGCTTAAAGCTATGTATGTCTGGTTGTTACTGTTCTAAATACGAGAATCTGAGAGAAATTATTTATGTTAATCTTAAATTAAGATTCTTAATCATAAACTCAATTTTCATAGCGTCCAACAACCCTTTCATTCGCTTTCGATTCATTCGTGAATAACGAAATTTTTGCCGGAACGATCCTAAGTTGAGCCAAAATAATTCGGTGTTAGTCATAAAATATATACATTTTTATGATTTTCTTGGAGAAGGAGAACCGATTTTCATTCGTATAATAATAATAATATTTTGGCGCTTACACTTTCAAATGGATTTTATGAGCAGCTTTTTCAAGGCAGAAGTACACTCAGAGGTCTGCCATTGCCTGCCAAGGGGCGACTGCTGCTTAGAAAAAACATTTCCAGAATTTTGTTTGGGAATGTCGCTTTGACCAGGGATAAAACCTGGGAACTGAGGTTTCGTTCATTTTTCCCATATGAATAAGTCGTCGAACACGCTTTGTATGGAAGAAAATGACTGAAACCGTCGCCAAAAAAAAAATAAAAATGCTAAAAATCAACGATAAGTGCTAGCTACTTAAAACTTGCACATTTTATATTAAAATTTAATGGGCTATAGGGTTGTTTTTTTGTTTGTTCTATTTACTGGTTTATTAAACAAAAAAAATAGCGAAATCAACTGTTTCATAAAAAATTCTTATTTTTGCGATTGCTTAAATTTCGCCACAATTATATTTTTTTTGATCGCCAACGGAATTTTCATATGAAACCGACAGAAAAAGAAAACATTCGTTTAATTTGACACACGCTAATGTACATATATATGTTTTGTATGCATTTTCATGCCTCAAATGCTTGATATCCCCACACAAGTCTAATATTTACTTTTCGTCTATAATTGTAGTACTTCTAATAAAACTGCTCAAATGCGTTGCATGACACAACAATTAATGAGATACGGATACTTTAATTAAAAATCGTGTTTATAAATGTAAGACATTTGTACACAAATTTGCTAAGATTTTTAATTGTGGCTGCTAAGCGCCTCCATTAGAGTACCACCCACACTCGCTGCTGTCCAAAGTTAAACAGAGACACTTTCAAGTCAACTTCCCCCCACCACAGGGAACTCTCATTCGCAAACGCTGTGTCTTAGAAAATTAATATTGACATCAAAGAGAGATTTCGTGTTGCATGCCACAAATAAGCTGTGGCCAAAATTGAAATAGAATGAAACTTTAATTATCTACTCAACACCGCTGTGGCAAGTTAATTGCGCACTAACGAGGGTGTGAACTTGTGATAAATGTAAATATAAATACTCGCCAAACCCAAATACTCATACTCGAACGCCAATTCCCAGCTCTGCAGTGGCGGCGGCGGCGGCGGCGGCTCCTGGGATGAGTGAGATGTTTAGCTGCGCGCGGCGGCGTACAACATTTCATGTAATTAAATTGCAATTTATTTAAATTCCCAAACAAGCATGCGGCATGCCTCATGCATTTGCCATCAAACTCAAGTAGTCGGCGGCAATCATTTCGGTGTGTATTCCACATACATGCAAACTTTAAATGGCTGGCATGCGTTTATGTATGCGTAAGGCAGTGGGTGGCTGTTAAATACAAATGCACATATTTATGGGGGTTGTGCCACTTTCTCATGCAGCCAGATATTTACAGCAACAAGTCGTTAAGTTTGTATGTTGTTTTTTTTTTCGACCACAGTGACACGGTCCTACGACCGCAGCTCTCTGTGAATCAACAAGTTTCAGTTGCTTTGTTCTGCCCGCAGTTTTTGCCTGCTGGCGCAAATGACACCCCGCCGAGTGGTTTGTTGAGTGTCTGTGATTTTTGTATTGCATATACATATGTATATAAGTACATACATATATGATTGTATATCTATGTGTGTGCATGCGTGTACTGCCCCATATGCCTAACTACTTAATTCTATTATTTGGGCGATTTGGTTGATGATTTAGAACGAAGAGTGGCACTTATTTAAAGTATCGATGCTTGCATATTTGTGTCTTGATTAAGAGCTGGAATTTAATAAATTGTGAATGTGAATTGGTGAATTGAATTTAACTAAGTCGATGTCGTTAAGGACTGGATCAACGACCTTTTTTGTAATAAAATATTTTAGGCGCAACGACAATGACTTCCATGAATACTAACTTTAATTAAAGTTAATTATTGAAGAATGGATAAAACCGATTTATGCTACATAACTACTTATGCATGTACTTCAAAACTGTTTTCAAATCATTACATAAGAAGTATGCCACGAGTAAGCAGTTTGATATGGAAATGTGCGTTTTCAGAACAGTTCAGGAAAGAGCTTCCTTTTGCGGGGAATTTTGACTATTTAATTTTAAATCATTCAATAACTTACCTAGAGTGCAGAAAACCTTTTGTAAAATTTGATTTTTTACTCACAATTAAAACTCTTGATGATTGATGTCAGCAATCAAGGTGAATTTAATTTGCCTTGCCAGTGGAGTCAGAAAGTTCATCGAACGAACAATTCATTTATATATGGGTGTTTCCATACAGCCGTACGCGACATTCGTAGGCTTATGGAGTAACATAAATCTCTCAAAAATATAAGTTACTGAAAAACAAGATTACGGTTATGTTGCAACCCAAGGGTACTATGTTTGAGAAAGATATAAGAAACCTTGGTGTGGAAAATATCCGTTCAAAACAAGATGATAACGTACGCGACAAAAAAGGAAGTGGTTTTAAGATACATATGCATATATGCGAATCATTGGAGTTTTTCTT